TGCTCCGTTACAGTGAGTGGAGCGGTGCAGGAAGGTGAGGATGAGGATGGGAGCAGGGCTGAAGCAGATGTTTCAAAGCGGGTGAAGAAGCTGTTTACTTCCTCAGGTTTTCTGTTTTCACAGCCTCTGTGGTTGATGATGTCTTGTATTCTCTACCTTCCAAAGAACCAAAGCAGATCCTGTTTTTCCACTTTTTCTGGAATGTGTTAACTGAGGAGTGACAAGTTCTGACACGGTTCAGAGGAATCTGGAATGTGGCCTAAGTTTACAGCTTCACTGAAACACTATTTCACAGAGGCGTGGCGTCGATATTTGAATTGAATTGAATGATGAAAACTGAGAAAGAAATTCTTAGGAGGACATTAACTGTCTAAATACTGCTATGATGTCACACAGGCGGTGTAGGACTGACGGTTTGTGTGGTGTCTGTTTAAATGAAATCACTTCCTGCTCTGCACTTCCTGCATTTCACCACACTGAAAGCCACTTATCAGCTGTTTGAACATTCATACTGACCGTGAGCATGAGGGTGTGGCTATTAATCCTTTTATTTTTTTCCTCTTACAGATGAAAGGTTGACTAAGTATCCAATAAAAATATCATTACTTCAAGCATCAGAAGACGTATTTTCCTTTTAAACAAATGTGCTTGGTTTGGAAGACAGGATGTGAACAGTCAACTTGTTGCTACAAATCCAAGCTTGAATAGATCAATCGAGCGAAATGTTGAAACACTGACACGCACAAATCCATCTGCTGTTGAGTAGCGTGCAATAAGACGGCTAACATCACCCACGATTCTTACTTATGAGTAAAGTACGTAACTAAAAGATGCTTTCTACAGAATGAGCCGTGAGTTAAAGTGAGGCTGGTGCAGTTCGTCTGCCAGCTGAGAAAACTCATGGCTGCAGTGCATGTGTGAAAACTGGCCAGCGTACGTTTGGTGGAGAGCAGCAACTATCCAGTTACCAGGTCACATACTAACTGGGTGGTTGTTGGTTCGATCCCAGTCTGTTCCAGTCTACATGCCAAATATCCTTTGGGCAAGATGCCAACCCCATGTTGCTCTCCGATGCATCCATCGGAGTATGAATGTGTGATTGTTAGAAGAATAGAAGAAGTGAATGAACACGTTGTGTAAAGGGCTCAGAGTAGAAAAGCACTATATAAGAAGCAGTCCATTCACCAGAAATCAAACTCACAAAATACCAGAATAATAATGAAGCTGAACCAAAAGACTCAAAACAGCAACTCAGCTGAGACGTTCTTAGGATCTCCTTTTGTGGATGACCTGGTTTTTCTCTTGGCTTCATCAAACGATGACCTTCAGCGTGGAACAGTTTGGAGCTCAGAGGGCATTAGCATCTTCAAGCCTGAGACCAGGGTTCTCAGCCAGAAAAGGACAGAGTGCTAGCATGAAGTCAGCCTAACCTGTGGCCGTGAGCTCAGGGTTGTGACCGAAGGAGCTCTGGATACAAGGCACCAAAATGAGCTTCCTCGATGAGCAGCTTGATCATTCAGCAGGAATTCAAAGTACACCTAAATCTTTCACAAAGGAGCTGACTGAAATGGTTTGCCTTTGGGCATGTTCAACTGGGAGGAGGCCAAAAACAGAATGGACAGGCTGCAGAGATGATGCCTCTCAGCTGGCTTGGGAATGCCTCAGTGTCCCCCCGGAGGAGTTGTGTGTCCGCAAGACCTGCTGCATAAGCAACAGAAGATGGATGATGCCCCCAAAAGTTGATTCTGTTCATCTGGACGTAGCTTTTCAGTGGGAGAAACATTTCATCATCATCCAGGTGACTTCTTCAGTCTCAGCTGACTGCAGGTTTCCCCAACCTTATAAACAGGACATTTGCATAATGACTGAATGATGATTGAGCATACATCAAGATGTATGGTTGGATGAAAGCCAGACTCAAATATGTTCCCTAAGAATTGTGCATTCAAATACACAAACACCTCGGGACAGTCGAGGGTGTTAAGAGGTTAATAGCTTTGGTCAGACCTGAACTGAACTCTTTAAAACTCTTTAACAGCTCCAGAAGTGTCCATTTTCAAAATGCACACACACACACACACACACACACACACACACACACACACACACAAATGAGCCACTAGTTAAGGATATGCGTAGTCCGTGTTTATTAGTTGAAAGTTGGGTTAGTTCATCAGATACAGCTCAGCGCACAACGCAACAAGCAGTTACAACATCAGCACACCTCAATATCGCAGTAACCCCTCCCACCCCACGCACCCCCTCTGTATACATATGTGTGACTCCTCCCACTTTAACCTCCCTGCTTGATCCTGTGATACTGACTCATTGTGTTACTGACCACATGAGGATGACACTGACGTCATCGTCGTAGCTGATTAGATTACAGCACTGCTGTTATTGTAAGCAGAATTATTATGCATAACTACATTTTTGTCTTTTTTAAGTGTTTTTTAATATTGTTGTTTTTCCCCCATGTACGTATAAAAAAGGCTGTGACAAAAAACAGGCAGACAGACAGGGCTGTGCAGCAGAGCAGAGAGACAGACGGACGGGAGTGGGGTCGAGGGCGGGGAGCCGTCCATCAAGGCAACAAGATGAGGTCGGACTTTGGATTATTGTACACGAAGGAAGACGAGCGTTTGCTCGCTGCTGTTATTTCACAATCAGCAGTGATTAATCAGCTCGAGATACGCAGTTCCCTGTCCATGAGTTCACTCTAGTTTTCTCTAGCTCGCTTTTTCTTTTGCAGGAAAATCTACTGAAAAGACCAAAACCAGTGCTGGATGTGGGCCCACTTTGTCTGGAAACTGTGAACAATCTAGTTTTCTGTAGTACGATTTGTTTTTTGACCCCTGAAGTGAGCATTGAGGGGACAAGACGCCCTGTCCTAAAATGTAGGACAGGCCTGTCACTGAGTCACAGACTTCTCTACAGCCAGAGGAGTCGCCCCCTGCTGGGCTTTGGAAAGAATGCAGGTTTGAGGCACTTCTAGGTTGACTTCACTTTTTTGAGGCCCAAAAGCTACATCCATCCTTTAGATGTAGTTTATGGTCACACAGACACACAGTAGAGAACCAGTGATGTAATTTCCTGCTTCCCAACAAATGCACCGCTCCTGCCTGTTTGAATTCATTTGTGGCCCAATGAGCAAGTGAAAATAACAGTAGGAATAATATTGTGTTTGATGGTGTGGGGTGAACGCACCAGTTTATACCTCAGAGCCACAGATGGAGTCACAAACACTCACTACAGCGCAAAATACGAATCCAACTATAATGAGAATTTATTTGCTGGATAATAATGAACTTTGTTTTTATGGGAAACTATCATTTTGGAAGGTTGTTTAAAGTTTTATGTCTACAGTCAGTGGTTGTTGGTTTTGGTCTTTTCTGCTTGGTTTATCGCTTCGTCGGGTTCGTCTCTCTGCTCGACAAACTGTAAGAATAAGCGTCAGCTCTGGGTCCGGACACGGGCTCCCTGTGTGTAATCCTGCGTCACATATTTTCATCAGATTGATTTTTTTGATCCGCATCGGCATCAGTGCAGCGTGTCCAAGGCAACGACATAAACCCTCTGAGCTATAGGACTGTTCCCAGTGCGGGTCCGTCCAGAGAACATCATCTCACCCGCTGCCATTAAACAGCTCAGCGAGCTGTAGAAACATTTATGACATAGCTTTTTAATAATCAGTATTATTTGCTGCATTGCTACGCGCTATAAAGAAACTGAATGAATGAAGGGGAGTGTTTTTCTCTCTACGGTTCTAATCTCCTCTAAACGTCTCGAGGCTACTGAGCGACACGAAAGGAAAACCTAAGATTAGACGATGGAGGGGAGGGTGTTGATACAAAATACAAGTACAAAATCAAACAGAGCAAAAGATAAAAACTGCAATTCAATGATTTTAGAGAAGAAGCAATGGAAATAAAAAACTGACAATCTCGAGGTTCTATTTACATTCAGGGAGCGATTACATCCTCGTTCTCCTCCGCCTCCTCCCTCGCTCCGTCAGAGGGTCCGTTTTGCTACAGAGGACCCGCCATGTGGGCCTCCACTTCATGTGTTCATCAGTATGTGTGTGTGTGTGTGTGTGTGTGTGTGTATGCATAGGAATTTTTCCAATCATATTCAAAGGCAGCCCTGGAACATCTGAAGCAGTGAACTGTGCCGTCTGCTGGCCTTTTACAGGCTGTAACGGACGTTTGCAGAAACTGCAACGCTGAAAACTTTTACACACGAAGCTGCGTCTGAGGAGAGATGACTGACAGGAGGAGGGAGGAGGGGAGGTTCATCTGGACTCTCTTAAGGCAACAGAGCTCCCCTCTCTGCAGGTCAAAGGGCAGGGATGGAGAGCAAGCACACACACACACACACACACACACACACACAGACACACACACACACACACACACACACACACACACACACACACACAGTAACAGTCTCGCTCTTTAACTCAAATATCAATGAAATGCTTTAGAAATGCCTGGAAGCTGGCATGCATCTATAAATAGCAAAAACCGTTCCATGACGCATGCATGCAAACTCAGATACATAAGTTGGTAACAAAAAGACATAAATATAAAAAATCTACATATAAATATGCTAAGGAAACAAACAGAGACTGAAATGTTTGTTTACGATGAAAGAAAGTGATTTGGTCCAAGATGAAAGATGAAAAACTCCCAGATTTTTGCTTTTTCTTTGTGACCATAAATCATCTCCGTCTCCTGGGCTGAGCTGCACCAGCTTCTCTGAGTTTCTATTTAAAGTCTAACTTTACTGTGTCACGTGCAAACACCACTCTAAGGTAAAAAGTCAAAGAGCAGCTTTGTCCTGGTGGACAGATGGAGCAACCAAGAATCAGACGCAACACTCTGAGCCATGAAACTCATTTCCTTATGAGACTGAGACTGGTTTCACTTTAAGGCCATGTCAGCGAGGCTCAAAGGTGAACAAGAAGGAAGTGGTTGAGGCAGTGACCATTGTGGAGACTCCTCCCATGATCGTGGTTGGTGTTGTGGGTTACGTCAACACACCCCGTGGTCTACGCAGCGAGTCCCAGCTTAATGCGCAATTACATTCATCAAATCAGGAAAGATTTTAGTAAACAGTAAATTGTTTGTGCCCAATTAGAAAGCTTTCCATCGTGTAAACAAACCACAACATGGTAACTACAAACCTGGAGTCCAGATAAATCCAGAGATGTATGTCAGTCTAAATGGCACCGAGTTCGACCCAAAGAGCCTCAGAGGAAGCTCCACCTGCAGCTCAGGTGACTTTCTAGTTTGAGATATGCTGAGGTGTCAGAACTCATCATGAAGGGTACGGAGAGGACGTCAGGAGCTCAAACTGTATTAGCTAAAATGCACAGAGAATGGATCCTTTATCAGAATTAGTATTAATAAGCTTTATTATTTTATTTTTGTGTTTAACCTGATATTCACCGTTAGCCAATCAGCTGTCACTTGGTTCTGCCAGAGCTCAGACTAGCAAACTGTTTGCTTTGTACTCACTGACTACAAAAAGTTGGTCCAGAATTGTAAATATTCATTAATAATCCTACAGAAGAACTAGTCTGTGTTTTAAAAATGTATCCCTTTATTATGAATTTAATTTCATAGCTCTTAAACTGTCTCCATGTACTCATTTAGGTGTTCATCTATGTGAGTAGTTACTGACATGTGAAGCTGAATCAGATGCTGCAGACCAGAATAACATTCGCTGCGTTTCTTTGGCGTGCCACACGTCTGAACACCATCTCAGATGTTACAAAATCAGAAGTTTTACATGTTCAGTAACAACCCTGCAAACAGACGGAGCTCATGTAACTCAGGGAGCTCAGGAGCAGCTGGTGCAGCTCTCGCCCTCGCCTCACTCAGTTTGTTCGCTCATACGAGTTTCTAATCGCGCGGTTGTATGTGTGTGTGTGTTTGTGTGTGTGTGTGTGTAAACTGTAAACAGCTTCACTGCATAAACCAATGGAATGTACTGACATTGTGTGTGTGTGTGTGTGTGTGTGTTTTGGCCATGTGTGTCTCTAGCTGGGCCGGTTTAGGATGCTCGACATGGAGGGAGCGACGGGGGGAGGTGGGACTGCATTAACGGGGGAGGCGGGGCCCGAGCTCTCGTTGCCGTGGGGAGCAGATGCCCGGCCGCTGTACTGGCCGATGAAGGAGCCGTCCTCGTTGAACTGGATGTCCACACTGTCCCCGTATTCAGCCAGAGAGTCGACGCTGCCCATCTTACTTTCCTCCAGAGACTGCTGGCTGTCCGAGCGCTTCTCATCGCCATCGCTGGAGGACGGCACAGAGACTCAGTGTCAATTCTCACAGACAAAAAGTGAAGTCTGATAAATGAAGAAACAAGCTGTGTAGCATGAAAAGACAAATATGAAATAACATAACATAAAATAACACATGAATAAAATGTTAATAAAATTCTTCCTGGTGTTCAAGGACTGCAGGCTGATTATGCAAATGATGCCTAATTACACAAAAAATCAAAGAAATGCACACAGAATGAAAAGTTTCATTAAATCTAAACAGCATCACGACACAAACACACAAACACACAAACACACAAACACATGTGAGTGCTACAGAGGGGTGAACTGTCCTACCTCTCCAGCGATCTGCAGCAGAGCATTGGAGGGAGAAAGAAAAGTGAATGAAAGGAAGGAGAGCTGCGAGCATGACGAGCTGCACGCTCAGATGAACCAAACTCGATGTTTCAGGAACAAAGTTTCATAATATAATTTACTGCAGGAATATTATCAGTGTTTATATAAAAACATACTGTATATAACTGATTGTTGTGTCGACATGAAGGATTTTTGTGCAAAAACTAAACAACACACTGACTCAAATCGTAGGCTCGCTCTGTGTTTTGTGCTCTTGCTGTATTTTGCACCTGCAGGGCCACCGTAGCACTTTGTTCTGTGTGGAATAAATGCATTTCAAGCATAACCTGTAATCATGAGTGACATTCAAAAAGGCCCACCTGTATTCTCCAAAGGCTTCATCTTTCATTGGTCGAGCTTCAGAGTCCACCTCCTTACTTTCTTTGTCCTTCACTGTGAAAAAAAGAAACTCTGCGTTAGAGTCTGTGTGAGTCAGAGAGTGTGAGTCCAGCTGCGCACCGCGGCGTACCTGCATATTTGCCGCCCTTGCTGCGTTTGATAAGGCAGAGGATGAGCAGTATGAGAACCAGCAGCACGATGGCGCTGATGAGTCCAATCAGCCAGCCTTGGGTGGCGAACCTGCCGGTTATCTCTGACGGCACTGAGAGAACAGAGACAGACGGTCACAGAAATGTTTGGAAGGATGTCTGTGAAGGTTCTCAGTCATCCAGGTCATCGTAGTCTAAGGAGCTTGCAAAGAAAAGCATCTTCTTTAAGTTGCTTGAAGACGTTTCACCTCTCATCTGTGAAGCTTCCTCAGTTCTAAGGTCAAATGGTGGAGAGTCCCAGATTTAAGCTCTGTGGGAGTTTCCCACCGAGAGGGACAATGGACCCCCTAATGATCCTCTATCTAATCACACGAGTCAAGGTGTGAAAACAGGTTTAGGTCCCAATCAGGCAGGGTTTTGAGTGAGCTCATTGTGAAACTTAGCCCCATCCTAACATGTGATTTGCTGAGGTCAGATGGCTCAGGAAGCGTCTGGGAAGGATCTCAACTGGATTATAGATGGCAGACAGTTGGTGTCTCCACCATTTGACGCTAGAACTGAAGAAGCTTCTCGGATGAGAGGTGAAATGTCTTCAAGCAACTTAAAGAAGTCCAGACGCGTTTGGAATTATGATTTTCACACAGGTAGCGAGGTTAGCCCGCCTGAAAACTCCACAGTGCTAGTCCCAAAAAGTTGATTCTGTTCATCTGGACGTTTTCAGTGGGAGAAACGTTTCGTCATCATCAGGTGACTTCTTCAGTCTCAGCTGACTGCAGGTTTCAATCTTATAAACAGGACATTTGCATAATGACTGAAACAGCCCACTGAAGGAACAATGGGCTGTGAGGTCATTTCCTTGATCATTAATATGCAAATTCTCATGAAAATTGATCAACAACTACTGATCAAAGCTCACTGATCAATGTCCATGAGTCCCATTCACAGAGAGTTGGGGAATGGCTGCAATCACAGCAT